ACCTAAAAAGCTCAACCAAGAAATCTATATCCAACAAAATTGTCCTTCAAAAATGAAGCAGAGAATCTTCTCCGGACCAAAGATATTTCAGTCTTTACATGAAATCATACTACTAAATATAATGAATTGCAGACTCTGAGTGGGGGAAAAATGAAGGAAAATTTAAGACATTTTTAGATAAATGAAAAATTAGACAAGCCCTTCAGTTTGAAATGAAAGAAGCCAATACATTAGCCCAAAACCACATGACAGTATAAAAAACACCAGTAAAAGTAACTACAAAGGTAAAGATAAAATCTAGGTAAATACAATAGTATAAATGTATGTTTTGTTTTTAACTTTTTTCTTATATTACATGACTTAAAAGTAAACTACATAAAGCAAGAAGTCTAAAACTGGGGTGCCTGGGTGGCTCAGTGGGTTAAGCCTTGCCTTGGGCTCAGGTCATGACCCCAGAGTCCTGGGATTGAGCCTCGCATCAGGCTCTCTGCTCAGCAGGGAGCCTGCTTCCCCCTCTCTCTGCCTGCCTCTGTCTACTTGTGATCTCTCTCTGTCAAATAAATAAATAAAATCTTTAGGAAAAAAAAGTATAAAACTGTATGTGTTGGTGGGCTTAATATACAAAGATGTATAGGTAAACATAGCAGAAGAAGAAACAAAGGGAGAAAACAGAACTATGTAAGAGTAAAGTTTTTAATACTGAAATTAATTAAGGGTAATAATTCTAACGAGGCTTCTATAAATTATGATGGCAACTGAAATCCCCAAACACTAAGAAAATAAAACAAAACAATCCAAAACCCAAAATAACAACTGTTGGCACTGCTAGTGGGAACGCAAAATGGTGCAACAGCTATGGAAAGCATAATGGTGGTTCCTCAAAATACTAAACATAGCAGTGTATTTGAACCAGCAGCTCCACTTCTGAAATCTAACCACAAGAGCTGAATGCAAGTAATGTAAGAAAGATCTGTACAACCACTTTCACAGCAGCATTATTCACAATAGCCAAGAAGTAGAAAGCAAGTGTCTATCCACAGAGGATTGGAGAAGCAAAATGTGAAATCGACACACAGTGGAATTTTAATCAGCAATACAAAGGAATGACTCATGGTATAATATGGTTGAACTTTGAAGATACTGTAGTAAGTGAAAGAAGGCAGTCAAGAAAAAGTTACATTTTGTGTGATTTCCATGAAATGTCCCCAAACAGGCAAATCTATAGAAATAAAAAGTAGACTAGTGGTTGTCAGGAACTAGGGAGAAGGAAGGAATAGAGAGTGACTGCTGATGGATACAGGGATTCTTTTCAAATGTTCTACTGATGGCAATGACTGCCACACAACTTTCTGAATATACTAGAAACAACTGTTCATTTTAAAGGAGATACGGTAAATTATAAAAATATGAAAATTATGGTATAGGAATATTTCAAGAAGGCTCTTATCTAAAAAGCAGAAATGGAATACTATAAAAAGGGACCATACAACTGGAACAAGAGAGGCAAATTTTTAAATCAACTACCCAATATTCAAGTGGCCATAGTATAACTATCATACTTGTAAATATAAGTTTTATATTTACATACTACCTATATTTATAAATATAGTATCCATATCCCTAAAGTACCCTACTCAGAAGACATGAGGTTCTAGAAGGAAAAGCCCTCCAAGTACACCACGCAAATAAATGAAAACGGTCTCTCAGACAAGACGCACCATCATCAAGTTTCAGACCAAGAAAATCAAAGTTATCTACATAGGATGAAGAAACAGAATGGCTTTAGAATTCTCCATGGAAACACTGAAAGCTGTAACGACTCAATGAGGCCCTGGCTTTAACATTCTGAATGACAGGAGCCTGAGTGGCTCAATCAGTTAATAAGCATCTGATTCTAGCTCAGGGCATGATCTCAGGGTCCTGGGAGCAAGCCCCATGTTAGGCTCCCCCACTGTCTACTTGTCCCTCTGTCCCTCCTCCTGTTTGTTTTCTCTCTCAATAAATGAGATCTTTTTTAAAAAAAAAAAAAAAAAGAAAGTGACTTTAGCTACCAGACAGACAAGACTCAAATAACAACCAAATGCATGGCCCAAAAGTGAAATTCCAGTTCCTCCAAAGTGAAGCAGAAGAAAGGACTGGTCTCCTCCCAACTGTGAAAGGGAAAAAGGAGCTGCACCTCAAGGCACATTTTTTATCTTAATGCTCATGTCACTTGGCTGATATTATCAAGGCATTTTATTCATCACACATTTCCTAGAGATAGAATTAATCTTCTCAAACACAGCACTCACTCAGTGGACAAACTTTTAAGAGAGCAACATTTTCATTTCAGGATGAAATGCACATTTCAGAAAGCACCACGCATATCCCACACTACGTTATTAGTCCTATGGCGTATCTTGCTAAGCCAAAAATCTGTGATGCTCACATAACAGCAAAACAGATATATATAAATGACTAACAGAAGTCTAGAGTGTTCAAGTATTCCCATCAGCCACTTGGAGCCACAGACAGCAGACAATGAATCTTCTAAACAACAGCAGAATTCTTCCAAGGTCTCATTTCATTCGCACGTGTCACTGGCAAAATCAAACTAAAGGCGGCGGCCAGAGGCTCCAACCCTCACAGTGCTAGTTAAGTGTCTTGTAATAAATACAAAGAAACACGAAGTTTCGGCCTCTTCCGCCAGAGTAATGCCTCTGAAGCACCAACAGCCTCCTTCTCCATGCATCGTGTCTACCAGAGTTTTACAGCGACAACCGAGAAGGACGTGGGCCCGTTTCCCTAGGACCACCCTCTGCATGTAGTCTACAAATTTTAGGAAGGATTTTAAGTCACATCAGGGATCAGAACCTCATTCCCATTCACAGAGGACCAAACTAACTCTTCTGCAGCTTTTCATTAAAAAAAAAAAAAAAAAAAAAAAAAAAGGGAGGGTGGTGGTATAAAAACCAATCACTGGGAGTCTGAATGAGAAGGTTCTAGCCCCCCGTCTGGTTGGCATTAACTGCACCCTGAAGCCTGACTTCAATCACCCTCTGTGTTGGGGTCCCCAAGTCCACACCCAGGTTTAATGAATGGCTGAGAGGACTCAGGGCTTGGCGCACATTCACACTCATGGCCATCACTATCATACTTAGGACACTCCAAGAAACCAGCAAAGAGAGAAGGTACATGGGGAGAGGTCTGCAGGAAACCAGGCACAAACTTCCCAGAGCCCCTCCCGGTGGAGTGGCGTCACAGAAGACGTGCTTATCCCCAGCAACAGGCTGTGACAATGACAACAGTGTGCTCTGTTGGGGCTGGTCATGCAGACACTCCCTGGGGTAGCACTTAGCAACATGCCAGACTCCCCAAAGGAAAGCAGATGTTCAATGTAACACACACTGCTGGGGCACGGTGAGCTACTCTTGCCCACTCCTTGGAAATGGTTAAGTCCCCCCAGATCAAAGCTTCCAGCCGCCAGCCCAGGGGCAGCATTCCAAGCCGGCCTCCCCTAAGGACAGCAGTTTCCTCTGAGCACTCGTCTCTTCAGACTTCAGTGTCACCATGTCACCTCCCAGGAGTATGGGCTTGGTATAGAAGCCTTCAGACAGAACACAGATGTCCCACTAGGTGAGACGGTCTGCTCATAGCCTAGAGCCCCTGGAGCTACCCAGCCTGGTGAGGCCCCCACCCCCAGCAGGAAAGGGCTTCACTGACATCTGATGACATCTGATGACACTGATATCATGAGTAAACAGCCCTCTCCCGCCAGTCCTGCCCTCCCTGCTCACCTGGGCCCTCCAATTTTCCCTAGACACTATGTAGGGTTTTTGTCTTTAAGTTTGTCTTTCTCCTAAGCGTTCTCCCATATGCTCAAAGACAAGAAAGCTGAGGTTCATAAAACACAGGGACAAAATAAGTCTATTCTCACAGATTACCTGTTATAAAAAACACGAGAACAGTTTTATACCCACCTAATAATCTTGCACATAGCTCGGGGGCCATCGTGAGAACAACCTGGGAGACAGGACTCTCAACAACAGTGAGTAAAGCCCCAGCTGCCTGCTCACAGAACCCCTACTTTAGGGTAAAGGGCCTGCTTCCATCATAGGTAATTAAGGGACATCAAGATAGAGAACTCCAGTATATTTCAAAATCCCAACCCATATGTAGACTCCCAATATTCTGTAAACTCTTGTGAAATGGGGTAGAGAAAATTAAAAGGGGAGTCAAAAGAACAGGGCTTTCCTCTGAGCTCTGACTCTTGCTGTGTGCTCTCCCAAGTCACTTCATGGGTCCTTCTATCTCCTGGACACAGTGACAGGCTCAGACAAGCTGCTCCAGAAGCCCAGGCCACGTGTAGCTCCCCAGGACTTGCGCATTACTCTCTCCCTTAAAGGAATGGGGCAAAGCACAAAGGGTCTAAGATTCCCCCACCGTAGTTAAAATTATAGATATCCAGTTGTTCATTATTTTTTTAAATGCTGACTACAACAGAGACATCCGTGGACTCACTTGGTCTTGGATCTGATGAGATGCGGATGCCCTTGCACTGGCCTCTATGAATTGAGACTGGCAGAAAATTACCTTTTCAAAGATGCCTTCCAGAATTATTACTTCTTTATTTCTATCCAGGCTCATTCTGGAAAGGCTTCATTAATCCAAGCAAATATATTTGAAGCACCTACTGCACTAGGTACTTGCTGCAAACAAGATATAACTACACAAGCCAAAAAAAGGCTTAAATTGTTCAGTACCTTTCAATTTTAAACATGCTTCTAGAATCAATACATGGCATGAGATGTGGCTAGATGTCTGGGTGACAGTCCTCCTTTTGAGTAAGTGGAATGGGAGGGGCCCCAACACACGATCTGAGTAAGGCCTCCGACCGCCAATCCTCTGACCACATATTCTTTTAATATAATCATCACTGTAAATTAAGTAATGCAAACCAGGTGGTTAACTGAAGAAAGAAGATGAGAAGAGCAGAAGGAAGAAAGACAGTCTGAACTCACCGGGACTGCGGCAATCCTTTCTTACTGAGGTCTGCCCTCACACGTTCTCCCACGTGTCTGTAAATCTCCACTAAGCTGTTTATTGCTGCGTCTCGAACCTAGATGTAAAAGAAGAGATCTTACAGCTGCTCTGTGTCAGTCCACAGCGCTTCCTGCTGGGGCACAACAGGCTGTACGCCACCCCGAGTTTATCACCAATCTGCCAATGCAACTGCGATACAATCCCTTATTAGATGTTTGACTAGACAAAGCCATGATGCTGGTACAATTCCAAAGGGGAAATTCAAGCCCCTCCCTGTAGATGTGTTAAAGTCCACATCCCTTAGTGCTTTCAACTTTTTTAGAGGACGTCAGGAATCCAGAATTTTCAGATCACTTTCCCAAAACAGAAAATACCACAAATAAATGAATTATACTAAAAACAAAACTCCATGTAAAAAGCTTTCTAGATTGAACTCAATAAAATCTTAGTGAGCAAAAAAGAGGGTAGTAAAAGCCATTATACATAGAGCTCTGTATACAAGAAGCTAACAGTCCTAAAAGGGGCTTGGTGGAGGGGAGGGAGGGGGGCGATAGTCCATAAATTCTTCATTTAATACAGAGCAGGGTATAGTATATATCATACAGAAGTGCAAAGAACTCACACAGTTTAGAGAAGGGAGGGAATATACTAGATGACAGCAAGGAACATTCTCTGAAAGAGGAAGGAACCACTTAAAATGTGCTTAAGGGACAGCATTTTACCAGATAAAGGTGGAACGAGACAGGTTACAAACAAGGTACAGCCTGTGTGCAAAGGCACGAAAGCAGAGACACATGGCATGTGCTTCAAGAAGAGCGAGTAAGTAGTTGGAAAAACACAAATACAAACTAAGATAAGAAAGCAGCAAAAAATAAGGCTTAAGAAACAGACAGATTTAAAACAAACAAAAACAGGGAAATATGAATACAGATTGTACATAAAATGTAACCATTTTTAACAATATTGAATTTCTTAGATATGAAAATAACATGTAATTCTATAAGAAAATATCCTTGTTATTTAGAGATATAAACGGATGTATCTCAGAGCAAAAACATCAGGTCAGAGCAAAAATATCATGGTTCAGAAAAAAAAAAAGTGCGTTTCTATGTGTGGGTATGTGTATACATACAGTGATAAAGAAAACAAATGTGACAAAAATGTTAACTGGTAAATACAGATATTACTATTAGTCCTAGTATTTTCCTAAAGGTTTAAAAGTTTGCCAATAAACACACAGTGGGGGGCGGGTGGGGGGGTACAACTTTCCGTATACCCTGGAACCAAGGCCAGCCTGTGAAGGTTGGGGAGGAGCGGGGAAGGGTACTTACTTTGGTAGGCAAAGAGAGGGGAGCAACATGCATTTGTGTTTGGTCTCAAGCAATGACATCAAAATAACAGAGAATCAAAGGCAGAGGAAGGAGGCAGGGACACAATTTACAATTCTCAATACTGCCGGCTACTCCTGATTTAAGGGTTTACAGGTTATAGGACAGGTAACTTCACAGACCATTTTTCCCCTATGGTGGAAAAGGGCAAATGTTATGTTACAGACTGTTCGCATTCCCACCCCCAATGTATTGAAGTCCTAATCCCCCAGCACGACTGTACTTAGAGACAGGACCTATAAGCACATAACTGAGGTTAAACAAAGTCGTAAGAATAGGGCCCTGACACAACAGGTTTGGTGTCCTTCAAGAAAAGACACCCACAAGCTGGCTCCATTCTCCACACGGGCACAGAGAGGTCATGTGAGCACACAGTGAGGGAGCCGTCTGCAGACCAGGAAGAGATCCCTCCCCCCACTTCCAGAACCAGACAATACTGGCACCCTGATCCCAAACTACCAGGCTTCAGAACTGTGAGAAATATATTTCTGTTCAAGCCACCGGTCTATAGAATTTTGCTTTGGTGGCCCAAGCCAAATAATAGATTATCAGTTTACTTGGGAAAAGAAAAGACCTTCTGAATTTAGGCACCATTTTTATACAGAAACATGGATTTACTATATAAGCTGTTAATGCCACTGTCTCCTGAAAATGACTCAGCCCGCTTTCTAATGAATGATATCTGCTCAGAGCCCATCACCTGAATGAGCAAGCAACATCCTGTCCTACTTAGAAAGTCTGGACCATCATCAGTTTAAGAGATTTAGTGGGAAAATGACCAGCCTTAGAATCAAAGCACAGCTGAGTACCTCCTTGGCCCTTTAGAAACTGTGTGATCCCAGATCCAATATATAAACTATTTTAGTCTCCACTTTCTCCTTGTGAGCTGAGGGCTGCTTGGAGGGCTAGAAAAAACAAATTCATTCCACAAGTATCTGAGCGTCTAGTGATGCCAAACTAAAGTGCCTCAATGGCCCAGGCGGGGACCTGGTAGCTGGTATACAGTGACAAATGACTCTGGCAGGGAACCCTGCTGGCAGGGAGAAGAGGGAACATGGAGGGGGTCGGGCAAACAGGCCGCCGTCACCCAGCCTGGGAGGAATGTAGGTATGGGTCTGCCATATGTAATCTTTCAAGAGAAATCAGGAATACGAATCTTTCAAATATAAGAACACCAAAACTCTTAAACGTAAAGCTAAAACGCTGTGCAGACGCACGCGCCCACACATGAGACTGCGATCAGGTTTCAGGCCAGCAGTGTGGAACCTATGTATTGCGTGTATAAAACACTCAGCATGCGACTAGTGGAAGGAGTATATCTACATCTTCTGAACCAATCTCCTTAGCTTTCAAAATCATCATTCCTCAGGCTCCAAAGCTATCGGGTCAGACAGCATTTGAGGGTCTAGAGCACCCTCGATTCAGGAAATAGGGCAGAACATGTTTTCATTTTCTTCGGTCTACAAAGTACTACACTCCAACTGCCAAGGGACGTTCTGTAAAAGCAGCTCGCTCAGGCTGAAGGCACAGCACGGCGCTCACTAACACAGCCACGCGGGTCCCACACTACTTCCGCCCACCTGCAGGCTCACCATTAAAAAGGAACCCCAACATTTCAGGCCATTGGGAGTACACAAGAGCCCCAGTACATTAAACGCTAACTGGCAGGCCCAAGTTGAATGCTCTACACAATCTGAGCTCTTCAGATCTGTGGCCTCCTGCACAGGACAGCTGTTGACTGGAATATAGAGGAGGCTAGCCACCTGCTGGGGCCCACAGCAGGAAAGACTGATGAAAAGTTTAAAGGAAAGGCAAGAGCACAGGCACGTGCAACATATACACACAGCCCAAGAGGAGGAATGATTCCCGTGCATTAGCAGCAGAGAAGCAGGTGGTACTTTCCTGGCCGGAGGGCTCTGGGAGACATGGACTGCGTGTGTCTGTGTGTGCGTGTATACGGGTGCAAATAAACCTTCCTAAGGCAGGTGGGGTTCGACGGGGTACTCCGGCTCTGTCTGCGACAGACTGCCCAAGGATGCCCACCGAGCACCCACCTCACTGTGTGCCAATGCTCAGAATCCCAGGGGCCCACCGCATGGAGTCACATCACCCAAGTGGCCCATGACAGCACCTGAGTTAGGAACAAGAACTTCAGCTAGCCAGGCTGGCTTTCCCGCTGGACTTAAGGATACCATGTGATAGCAGCAATCACCTAATGTGTGACCTCAATAAGGGATTTTTTCTTCCCACAGAAAACAAAAATGGAAACAAGACCAAAAAGGAAGAAAACACAAAACAACCCATTTGGTAACTTAGAATTTTTTTAAAAATTGTTTTTTTACAAATTAACATTGAAACATAAAAGTGTGATTCAGTAAATTGAAACATCTCAAAATTCCACTTCCAGTGTCCTATACTTTCAGTGAAGGCTGGATAAAGGAGTAGATGGCAAGAGGAAAGCAAATGAGATCAAAAGAGACCCGGAGAACCCACAGACAGTGCACAGAGGGGCTGGGGACGGGAAAAGCAGCAACAGAGATAAGAAAGGGCAAAGCAGAGGAAGAAGGAAGGACAAGAGCCAGAGGGGCCCAGAGCCACAGGGACCCGGGAGCCAGGGATCCAGGGAAGGTGGAAGCGAGCTAGCACAACCTCTGTGGGGACATGTCAGCAATGATCAGTCAGGGTTTAACATGAGTTGCCTATGTACCATGTGTATTTCTTTGGTTACTGTTCCAATTTTCGGCCCCTTTATCTAATGAGGTATTTTTCTTATGAGTTCATATGAGCTAATTATCATAAAAATGGCTCTCAGTGATAAACGGAACTGAACCCGTGGGAGAGCCGACACTTCTAAGGCCCAAGCTTGGAAAGTTCTGTGACCTGCCTGGTGACTGCCCACGGATTACCAGCTCTTTTACGCCTACATTAAGGAAGTGGTACTTCGGTGTTTGGTCTCTGGATTTACCTAAGATCTACATAAAATACCATCCATGCCTCATTAGGGTTCAAGGAATTTCATACACCATCGTATTATACAGCACCCGAACAAAATACAGGAAGTCTCCATCCCCTCAGAACAGGTCCCTTAGGCCCCTTCCAATCAATCACCCGACCCCAAGAGGCAAAGCCTGACTGACTGCAATCAGCATTGATCACTTTTCCCCAAGGCCACCCCATTTTGGCTGGAGAGTGAGGGACCAGAGGGACGGTATCTCAGAGCCTGGTCTGGGTGACATCACTTTAAAGGATAGCAAGGCCTCAGCCATATAGAGAACAGGGTGGCGTGACCACCATATTCACCAGTGCTAAAGGGCATTAGTGCTCATTATTTGGAATAATTATCTGAGCATTATAAACAGGAATAGAGTCCCGCCCACCTATCAGGTACACACAGAACACCAGAATGCATCTTAAGGGTTTATAACCAATATTCTTCTTTCTCATTAAAATACACTCACCTGGCTGTTTGGATCTCCAAGTAAATTACATATATGTGGCACAATCTTGCTTAGTGTTAAAGTATGTGCTCCAGAGCTGAAAACAAAAGGAGTGTTTTACTGTTGGTGAGAACAAAGAAAAAGAAATACCCCCCCACACACACCTCCAGGGCCTTCTCGCCCCCTCACACCTCCGCTCCCCTTCCTTCCCATCTTCTGCCCACCGAGTTTCCAAATAAGCATGCCACAAAGGCCCCACCCCTCGGCAGAGTTCAAAACCTTTTTGTGCTGCTCGCTGACCATGCCTTCTCCCCGGCACTCGGGGCTCTCACCATTCTGGCTCCCAACCTGCGATGCCAAGCCAGGGCCCCAGCCTTTCCTGCAGCCCTGCCTGCCTCACACATGGTTGCCCCTGCATTATTATTCTGTCACGCAGGAGTTCCTATTTTGCTCAGCTCAGTGTTTTCAACTAAATGGCAAATCCCCTGAGGGTCCTCCTCACTTAACTCTCCACCTGAGCACAGATGAGGCTCAGTGAACGACTGCTCCGTGGGAAGACCCTGACAGTGGCCACAGAGGGTTCCAGCAAAACCTTGCCCTGCGGGATAGCACGGGAGTCACCGACCACCTTTCACCGTCATAAATGCCAACACAAATAGCCCTTGTGAATGCCATTCTCTGTTCATCTGATGACTTCTTAGGATATATTCTCAGAAGTGAAACCACTGTGATCAAAACTAGAACATTTTTAAGAGATACAAATCTGGGAAAATTTAATGGTACTGAAAAGGCTAACATATGGAGTGGAAAAATTTATAAGGTGACATAAATCTTATTATCCTAGTTCTGTCTTTGAAGTAATGTAACTTTACAGGTTGAACTAAAAACGCACTACAAGTTAACCGTGATTGTGTGAAGGTGGTAGAAATATACCGGATCATTATTTTCTTCCTGATGTAAATTTTCTGACATATACAGTATCACTTTTATAATCAGAAAAGGTGACTTGTAATTTTTCTATTTTAAAAATAGAAAAATTGGTGGGCTTGGTGGGTTAAGCCTCTGCCTTCGGGTAGGGTCATGATCAAATGTAGACCACAAAGAGATACCACTACATACCCATCAAAATGACTAAAAGGAAAAAAAAGAACACTCAGTGCTAACAAGAATCTGAAAAAACGGAATTATTCATACACTGCTGGTGGGAATGTAAAATGGTACAGACAACTCTGGAAAACAGTTCGGTGGTTTCATTAAAATTAAAGCTACCAGAGGACCTCGCAGTGGCACTCTTGGGCACCAACCCAAGAGAAATGCAAGCTTATGCTGCTGCAGGGACACATAGTTACGCGTTCGCAGCAGCTCTGCTTGTAGCAGCCGGAAACTAGAAACTACTTGAACATCCTGCAACAGGTGAATGGGGACTCAAAGAGATGTTTGTACCACGGAATTCTCCTCGGCCGTAAGAAGACATCAAATACTGTTCAGGCAATGCCCACCATGTGCAACCCCAAAGAAATTACGCTGAGTGAAAGAAGTTAATCTCAGAAGCTCACGTTCTGTTTGATTCCATTTATATAACATTCTTGAAATAAAACCACAGAGCTGGTGAGCAGATCAGTGGCTGCGGGGCAGGGCGTGGCATGAGGGAGGCTGTTATGCTGCACAGGTCTGTACTTCATGGTGTGTGTTGGGGAGGGGTCCCTGGAGTGACACACAGGACAGGATGGGACAGAACTGCACACCCAATGCATGTGTGTCACCAGAGGAATCCGTGTCAGCCCTGGGCATTGCCTCGGTATTGCTCTCCTGGCGCTATCAGTGCATGCTACGCATGTAAAATGGAAAGAGTAAAGGACCATGGGGGAAGGGTGCACGGCACTTCCCCGGACATTTCTCTGCAGTTTCCAGAAGTCCATAGTCACTTTGAAACACAAAGTCACAAATAAAAACGCTCAGCCAAGGAAATCCCCCCGCCCCGCCTGGACTTACGCATTGAGTGTGGCAACAAGGCAGAGGCACGTGCCTTCCCGAGTCCGGAAATTCTTGTGCTTGAAGCCTCCCAGCATTCGGTCCCACACATACTGTAGGGGACAGAGGACAGGTGAGAAGAGGAGGAGCCTTTCACTTGACACAGGGACGACAGAAGAGGGACCTCTCAACAGGTGCCAGGTCAGCCCCAGCCACAACCAACCCATTTCATCTCCTCAAGGGCATACGGAAAAATGCTAACTTGTATTTCTGTATCAAGTCAGAGTTTTTCCAAACACATTCCTTTATATAATTGCATTTAGTTATGCCAACAGCTCCAAAAGAAAGGTGTAACCATCTCCATTTCATGGGTGAGGAAAGTAAGGGAAAGCAAGGCTTGGGTCACCTGCCAGAGAGCACACAGTGCTACTGCTCTTCTGGTCTGGACAGCTGTCCCCGCCTTAGCCACAAGTCACACATGTGCTCATCTTTGAAGACGTTCTGGGTTTTACCTTCCCTGGATGGCTTTTCCTAATCTCTCCACCATCCCACCCACCTATACATTACAGAGCGAAAGCCTGGAAGACAGGGCTATGTCCCTCTGTCCATCTATCCACCGGCAGCCCCACTCATTAGCAGATAGGAATGAGGTAGCTCTAGCCAGCCTCCTGACTCCCCAAACACCACAACCACCTCTTCTCAGAGAAACTGAGACAGTTACACAAACGAGCTCAAGAGTCTAATGGATTCAACCAAGCACTCGATACCCATGTTAAGCCCACTATTTTAATCAAAGTATACCTTTTGCTATTTATGACTTTTTAAAACATTCTCTATGGGGGCGGGGGGGAGGGGCAGTGCGGTTGGACAGTGACAGATTAAATGTTATGAAAATTTTCATGTGAAACACATCAGCTTAAAAGAAATTAAACCTTGAGACATCTGGGTGGCTCAGTCAGTGAAAGCATCCTATTCTTGATTTTGACCTAGGTCATGAGATCAAGCCCCAAGATGGGCTCCATGCTGGGCATGGAGCTGCTTAAGATTCTCTCTCTCTCTCTCTGTCCCTCTGCCCCTCCCACGCACACATTCTCTCTCTCTCTCTAAAATAAAAATTATATAAATAAAGAGGTAAGTAAATTTAAAAAGTAAATAAAAAATAAAAGAAATTAAATCTTTTTTTAAGATTTAATTTAATCTCCCCCCCCCCGCCGCCCCCCGTCCACCAGAGAAAGAGCATGCACGTACTGGGAGAGGGGTTTGCAAACAGAGGGGGAGAAAGAGCATCTCAAGCAGACCCCCCACCGAGCAGAGCGCCTCCCCCCACTACCTGGGGATTAGCAGCTTGATCCATGATCTTCAGCAGCAGAGTCTGGTCTTGCTCTCGCACGGAGTCTTTAGCGTCTCCCAGTCTGTCTATTAAACTTGGCAGCACTGAAAAATCGAAACGCAAATTGATCAAACCAAAGCCAATTTTGGAGAGTCTGCAGTTACTAAGTGGGTATTTCAATTACTGGGAAGACAAAATGCTGGCCTAAATGTGGTAGACCATCCTAGAACCACCAATCCTCACAATTCTACTCTTCTCACTAAAACCTTTTTGAGCTACTATAAGAATGTGCAAAACCGGGCGCCTGGGTGGCTCAGTGGGTTAAGCCTCTGCCTTTGGCTCAGGTCATGATCTCAGGGTCCTGGGATTGAACCCCGCATCAGGCTCTCTGCTCAGTGGGGAGCCTGCTACCCACCCCCACCTCTCTGCCTAGTTGTGATGTGTGTGTGTGTGTGTGTGTGTGTGTGTGGTTAAATAAATAAAATCTCTAAAAGAAAAAAAGATTAAAAAGAAGAAGAAGAATGTGCAAAATCCTTTGCATGGACACACCACTTGTCTTCTTCCTTAACCGACCTTCCTCCAGCTAGCTCCCCGCATGTTTTAAGCTGGTGAAATATTAAGAAGGATGTCAGTGGAAGACCCTGGCAGGATGGAGTCAACACATAAGGAACTTTAGGTAAGAGAGGGCTCCAGCACATTCGCTGGGGATACAAGGAGCAGGCACTTACAACTCAGCCTCTCGTCTACACTGTGTGTCTGTCCTTTAACAGAATATATATACACGCATGTGTATTACACTCCAGCTGTTGACTATCAGCTAGTGCTCCAAGGGCATTTACCTACCAGAAGTCAGTTTACTTAGCTGCTTCTAAGAGTCTATAAACCTTTCTTTTACAAGAAATATCCCTGAACAACTCAGCTAACTTATGAGGAAAATGGAATGTTATTAAAATATCAAATATCTAAAAGTAAGGGAGGTTTAATGCCAGTTAATGACATTTAATGTTAATGACACTTAATGCCAGAATAGGAAAAGAGTTCTTAACCTTATCTGAAAAAGCGTATTGACCAGGAAGTTAAGAGAAAATAACAAATACACACGTAGCAACCAAAACTGAGAAGTTCTGTAAGGAAATCCTTGTACAAACAGAGCTGCTTGGTGCTTATATTGTCATTATGAAATTCCAGAGGTCAGGAATTTAGAAATGACTAAATCATCTCTTAAATGATGAAACCTGCTTATTTTTTATTTCATTTTGCTGACATCCTTTTCCCTCCAAAATAAAGAGCGATCACTTAAGGTGCACTTGTAACAACATTTATGATCAAAATGGAAACAGTTAACACCTAGGATATGATCTGGAAAAAACACAGCCACATCGGATTTGCAGACCTTCTCAAGATGGGAAAGCAATGCCTCTCAACTGGGGCAAATACGATTCGGTCCGCACTAAAATGTGAGAGTTGATCTGTATAAAGAATCTGTGTAAGAATAAAAGAATTAGGGGTGCCTGGGTGGCTCAGTGGGTTAAGCCTCTGCCTTCAGCTCAGGTCATGATCTCAGGCTCCTGGGATCGAGCCCCGCATCGGGCTCTCTGCTCAGCAGGGAGCCCGCTTCTTCCCCTCTCTCTCTCTGTGCCTGCTGCTCTGCCTACTCGTGATCTCTCTCTGTCAAATAAATAAATAAAATCTTAAAAAAAAAAAAAGAATAAAAGAATTAGCAGTAATGCCGTGTATTAGAACACAAACGCTGGAAGAAGCCAGCAGAAAGGTATGGTAAAAACAAAAAGCATAAAGATGCCAGCAGATGTGGTGAGGTGGCTGGATCTGGGGTGACCCCAGGAGGGGAGGAGGAGCAGTGGTGCAGCCCCGGCAAGCAGGAGACTGAAGGAGGACTCAAGGGCTGGCTGGGAGGGTGGGAGGACTAAAGCGGAAGGGTGGGTGCGGTGCGGGTGGGGATGAGGGCTGGGTACCGCTATGTGGAGGATTTGGGGACAATGAGCGAAGGCTGGGGGCTGGACGGTGTAGAATGTGGGGCCCCGCTCCACACCTACCCACAGCTCACCTGTGCCAATCTGTGCCTTGAACCGGTCCTGCAGCCGGGTGACCAGTGCGGACAGGATGTCCATGCCGAGAAGAACCACCTGCAAGGGGAAACACCGGGAACCCATTAGCCGCTGGCCTCGGAGCCCACGCTCTGGCCCACCAGCTCCCAGGACGCTCCCCCATTCCTGGCGCAGTCCAATAGACCGGAAAGCGCATGCCGACTAGCAGAATAAACTGGTTGTCAAGAGGGCCGCTCTGATACACAAAGCGCTGTTCACAGCTTAAACACAAAACGTAAGGTGGTATGAAAGGAAATAAAAAACAGCCAGAGGGGGATACACCCGAGGCGCCAGCGGACCAGCGTGGAAGCCTGAGCCGCGGCCCCGCCCCCTACCGGCCCCGCCCCGGCGAGTACGGCGTATGCAAATTACTCGCAGCTGGTGCGTAGCCTTCTGGGTAAAACCAAGCAGCCTGTTCGCGACCTTCAGAAGCCTCAGAAAACAAGAAGCTGCTGATTTGCTTTCGGCAGCTGTGCTCAACACAGGTATACTAGCTACCAGGCGGCTAGGCCGGGCGTTTCGGATTAGTCACCCCAACCCTACCCGGTATTGGCGCTTCCTGCTTGCAGCGCACGCCCAATAAAGCACCAACCATCCTTTTCTTGGGGTTGCGCTACTGTCCAATGAACGTATAGTGAGGACAGTACTGCTAACGCCTAAACAACACGCCCGCATCAACTAGAGCTTTGCTTTATCTTGGTGCAATTTTTGGAAAAAACGAGAACCCTTTTCCCCCAGATCTGAAAGTATAAAAAGCAGTTTAATGTTTATATAGGGTAAGTGTATTACCGTGCCGTAACGCTAGGGGCTGCTCAAGTCAAGCTCTACATCACCATCTGATCTTTACTCTAGTTTTTCTCAAAACTTCTACTTGGTCATTACTTTTAACTACTGAGAGCGAATTTCAACAGTTCTATTTCTCCTTCATCCCTGTTTATCCAGGAAAGTTGACTCATCTACTTAACGAATTCTAAGTACTCCCAAAAAATAAGTGGAGAAAAAGTAAACCTGCGTCATAAAACTCAGCTTTTGCACCTCACTACGTTATTAGCAGACGTACTGAGACATGCTTAAAAAAGTATGACGCCACCTTAAAAATGACAACCCTCCCTACAAACCCTTTCTCAGTAGGAAGCAGTTTTGCTTTGCGCAACTTTCCTTAAAACATGGTTCAAAACTAAATGAAGTAGCCCAGTAACTTACAGAATCAATAAATGAACAAGACTGAAGCAATGATAACCCTAACATCAAGCGTTGTCATTGTCCCCTTTCATCTGTCTGCCACTGCAGCTTGTAAATGCAAACACTGCAGGCTTTTTTCTACTCAGCTTGGAATCCACTACCTCGAAACTGCCCGGTCAGAACCTAAACTGTCCTTGCAAAGACTGGCACCTTGAAGATATCAAAGGAAGTAATTCTTAAAATTCTTTATAAAGAGAACATTAGTTGGGAGTTGTTTTTTTTTTAATATGTAATGGTATAAAACATTTAAAAATAGTGGCTTTACTTACCAGCTAAAGAGGATTTAGGTATCATACACTGATTTCCTCCAAAGACTACAGTACGGAAGTAAAGGGGAATATTTTTACAGTGGAGAAACCTGAAAACCACCACCTCAAGCAGACAATGGGGTCAATATCAACAGTTGCAATTCATGTTGAACAGCACTTGCTGTTGTGTGATTAAAATGACACTTTACATCTGTGAGGTCCTCCTCCAAACCCTTAAGCCCAATTTAATCATGAGTAAAACATCAAATTCCCATAGAAAGACATCCTACAAAATAACCCGACCAGCACTGCCAAGGCATCTAAAACATGGAAGTCCAAGAAACTGTCATAACTTAGAGGTGTCTGGAGACACATGATGACTAAATGTGATGTGGTGTCCTGGGTGGGATCCTGGAACAGATAAAAGCCAGCAGGAAAAAAGTGAGGATCCCTGAATGAACTTTGTCAGGACCTGAGTTAATAATGATGTATCAGTATTGGTTTATAATTGTAACTATAACATACTACTGTTAGATGTTACTATAGAGACTGGGTGTGGTGTACATGGACACCCTCTACACCACCCTCATTTTTCTATAGATCCAAAACTGTCCTAAACATTAAATCTTGTATTTTAAAAAGAGAAGCCCATCACTTAATCAGAACTGGCTTTTCCCTGATGAAATCCTAAGCATGAGTGTGGCTGCTTTCTGGTTGGAGGTTGGAGGGTTATTCATTACAATAATAGTGAGAATGCTGCCTTCAAGTGCTCACCACATCCCTTCAGAACGCATTCAAGACTAAGGTGTAAGAGGGCAATTACACATTCATTTTGAATGAATTCAAAATTCTGTCAGATATCACAGCCCTTGTTGGTAAAGCTCTATGTGGAATTTGAGAGAACACTGTCTTTCATCTTTTCCAGGATGGAAGTTTACTTGGTTGTTTTGATCAGTTCAGGCCTAGCTCAATCCTAAAAAGAAAATTCCAAAACGTCTTGCCCAGACAGACTGGGGAGTCCAGAGACCCCCCGCACCACCACCAAGAAGCCTAGGTTGGCAGATGCTGCCAAAGCCCAGTGAAATAGGACAGGAGAGGACAGAACACAGCCCCGTGCACCTTCACCGCAGAATAAACTACTCTGGAAGGAAGCAGAGGGGCTCATTTATAGTTGTCTAGTTCACCCTGAGTCACAGCCCCAGTGGGCAAGGAAGGGAATCATCACCCACAAATGTTTATCTTCACAGCTCAGGCCCTGCTCCTATGTTTCCATTTCCCTACTGAAGACGGGGCTACATGAATAACTCATTGCCCAGAAGACCCCAATTATTGGCTGTGAAGACTCTGTGTGCCTCAATTTCCTACCTATAAAACGCGGACAGCAGCAGCAGCAGACTCACAGGTCACTGTGTGTATGGGAAGTGCAGGATATAATGCTTGGTGCGTGGTAAGGGCTAGCCTCCACCCCTGCTGGCTGTTATCACCAGCTCACTTTCAGTGCCAGCACCGTGGACAACAGGTACAATCGGTGCTCCGATGAAGCCTACGATTCGACAAGGGACTCGGCTGGGATAGAAGGCTTCCCAGAAAGAGTCACACTACATGAGGCTAAGTTTTGAAAAACCAGCCTTGCACCAAAGGAAGACACGACCTCAAGGCAGAGAGAAGTGCGCAGGCAAAGGTGTGAGACCGCTGCCATGATGGGGGGACAGCTGGAGCCGAGGGCAAGGCTGGGAAGCCACAGGGGACATGGCTGCCGAAGGGCCTCAGACATGTCTGCAGGATGACAGGGCAGCCATTGAAGGGCTGGATTGGTAAACAGGGAGTGACAGGGAGCTGGAGATTTCGACAGGGCACAGCGAACAGCATGAGGAAGCCAGCCTGGGAGAGAGAGGGCAGAGACATTGGGGGAGTGGGGCTCACACCCAACACTTACTGCCTTTAGTTTCCGCCAAGCCATTAACTCTGCATTATCTTCAAGCACCTCCTTCAATATTCCATTTCATTTTCTGAGTTTATGCTTGATTCCAAAGCAAAACTCCTTGAACGTAGGAATACTGTGCTTTGTGTTTCCTCAAAATTCCCCTAATAAATATAGCACAACAGTGGATTCATGGTAAACAGTCAATAAACCCCTTGTATACAAAACAAAAACAAGCTAGTTTACTGATTAGTAATGAATTCATTTGAAACGGATGAGTTCTCAAGGTACAACACAATGTCTTTATCCTACAATTTTATTTTTTTTAAGGTTTTATTTATTTGACAGAGAGAGATCACAAGTAGGAAGAGAGGCAAACAGAGAGAGAGAGAGGAGGAAGCAGGCTCCCTGCCGAGCAGAGAGCCCGATGTGGGACTCGATCCCAGAACTCTGAGATCATGACCTGAGTGGAAGGCAGAGGTTCAACCCACTGAGCCACCCAGGAGCCCCAATCCTACAATTTTAAAAACATGCTTTCAAAAGAACTGAGTAATCGCTAAGTACCTCAAACTAACCCTCATGCTGAAAATAACTAAAAATGCTAAATTATAAAAGAACATCTGCTTGGAAACATCGGAGAACAAGGAAGGCTAAGGAAAGTTACCAGGTCCTGAAACACAAGTAAACTAAAATCCAGAGGGATAAGCATGCGGCAAATAGTTCACTTTTGCCCTTGGGCCGTTTAAACACTGGGAAGGGACAACCAAGGCAGTGAAAATTGCTTTCAGTGACCACATGGGTCTAGGAGAAAAGAGGTTGGATTTCAGAGCCCTCAAAGGCTGGTAGCCTGGATAGACCCCTACAACCTCGGTTAGAAATCCAAATGGCTATACCTTAGGAGAGTGAATTGAAAGTAAAATAGTCTTCAGATAGACCACAGACCAGCTTCCAAGAATCCTGATGGCCAAATAAATATCAATCCCTAACATCAGATGGAAATGATCTTAGCTTAGGTGGTGCCCTAAAAACCTTGGCAGATGGAAACCCACATCACTTCCAGATAGAGAGAACATCATGCTCTCTGGTCCTCAATTTACCTCTCTGAACACTTTTCAAATGCAATGTCCAAAACACAACCAAAGATAACCAGGCATACCAAACAACTATAACTGAAAAGTAGGAGAAACACAGACACACATGAATTAGGTACATGAAAATAATTAGAAATGGATATGAAAATGGTAATTCTGGGATTCCTGGCTGGTTTAGTCAGTAGAGCATGTCTCTAGTTCAAGCCCTACTTTGGACACAGAGCTTACTTAATAATAATAATTCTTGCTATGTGTAAAAACATAAAATATGTGATTAAAATTGGGAGAGAGAAATTACAACTTTTAAAAAAGGGGGTGTCTGGGTGGCTCAGTGGGTTAAAGTCTCTGCCTTTGGCTCAGGTCATGATCCCCAGGTTCTGGGATCAAGCCCAGTATCAGTATCGGTATGGTATCGGACTCTCTGCTCCACGGGAAGCCTGCTTTCCCTGCTCTCTCTCTGCCTACCTGTGATCTCTGTCTGTCAAATAAATGAATGAAATCTTTAAAAAAAAAAAAAAAAGTGACATCGATTTTTTA